GAGCATTGAAGACATGTATCTAATTAGTGTGGCCAAAGACTATACAATATATATTGACCTTTAATCTTAAAACTCCTCAATAATATTATTTTTTTTTAAATTCTTATTTGTATATCCAAGACATTTAAAAATTTAGTAAAATGGATCCTATATTGGTATTAGAAAGAACTATAAAAGATTTCGATCTTTCCAATAGTGGTATGATATATCTACCAAAACCGGTTATGGAAAACATAGAAAAGAAGATGGAAATTCCGGTACTTAAAAATGGCATTCAAGTGGAAATTCAAGATAATGAAAAGTCATATTCGATAGATCTTAAAAAAACCGGTCGAGGTCAATATTATTTCGGAACTGGATGGAAAAGTTTCAGAGAAGCAAAAGACCTTAAAGTAGGTGATATCATCCAAATACATTGGAAAAAACCCAAATTTTTCTTTACAATGATGTGAGTCTTCTTTTGTTTTATTTTTATAAATTATCTCTCATTGTTTAGTCATTTCTTTACAAATCTATTTAACTAGTGTCTTTTCTTTTGGCTGACATAATTATATTTTAAATGGTTTAATGTGTATCATAATTAAAACATAAGCATATCAATTTGCATTGTCATCTAGATTATGGATACAATAATAGATATCACCATACCCTAAAAAGCTTATAAAAACATGTTATTGAGGTGTTGCTATACAACATACTAAGAATTTAATTTATAGGTAATTAAATAAATAAATGCTAAGTTTTTTAATTAAGGTCTCCAATTATTATAGTAAATCGTCGAGTGTGGAACAAGCAAATCAAAAAGGAGAGAGCAGTTCAAGTACAGTTCGTGCAGGAAATACACATCCTGCAAAGTAAACGGTGTTGAATGAGCGGAACAAAAATTGAATGGTGAATATAATAAGTACAACATAAGTATTATAATTTAATAAAAAATTTAATAAGATGGCTAGAATATGTATTTTATAAATAAAGTTGTATTGATTACCTCATGGTAATTCAAAAGAAAAGGTTGTATTGATTAGCATATTT